TTTTGATTATTTTCTGAAAATAATTAAATGTTTGCCTACTATTTTATTAAAAAATTGTTTAAATAATTGAATTCTTTTTGGGAAATTTTATTAAAATTGTAAATATTGAAAATCATAGAAATAAGAAAATTTTTTGAAAATAATTGAAATTAGGACAAGTTTATTGACATTTTTGAAAATAAATTGAACTTTGGGAAAGAATTTTGTTATTTATAAAGACAATTGGGATTTTGAAGAGAATTTTTTTTAAATTTTGAACATAATTGAATTTTATGAGAAGAATTTTATTACTCTTGAAAATAATTAATGTTTTCAACAAAAATTTTAATTAAAAATTTTTTAATTTTATTATTTTTAAAATTGTTAATTTTATTTAAAAAAAAAGTAAATAAGAAGTTAGTCGCGTACGAATTTTTTCTAGTAAAATGATAAACGAAATAAAATAAACATCCACAGTCTAATATAAAAATTCAGAAACAAAATACAGCCCGGGGTATTATGAATAAATAGGTAAACAAAAAATAATTTTCTATTTCCAACGTTCGTTCAAAGAAAATAAATCAAAAAACATTTTAAAAAAATATATTTTGAAAATGAAAACATAAAAATGTTTAAAAACAAATGAGTGAATTGAAAAATATTTTTAAACACACGAAATAAGTACATATATTTTTATAAAAGATAAAATAAAAGGAGTAAATATTGCTGAAAGAATAGAAACATTTGTAAATTGAAATACCTTTTTCTACGTTAAAAATAAACGAAAAAGTGAATATTAAAAATGTGTGGAAAATTCTGAAATAACCGTCAAACACTGACATTTTTGGTCGTACAACATATATATGTGAATAAAAGAGGTGAAAAATGTAGTGGAGAGTGAAATCAAAATTCTGCACGTATGAAGTAAAAATCTAAAGACATGTACAACATCACGTCAAGGACTGAATTTTAAAAAATGATATAACCACCAGGGATATTACTTGAGTGAAATGAATAATTTAACTAAATGGAAACGCTAAGAGTGGATGGACACTATTATCAGATAAATATTTGACAACTTAAAATGACAGTGTTTTATATTTCATTTTATTTTTTCTTTTAAATTTCTATTCAAATTATCAATATTTTCAGTATATAAATTATCCAACTATCAATTAACAAAATTTTTAAATTTAAATTAAATTAAATTATTATTTTTAACTGTGGCAAAAAAATAATTTGAATATTCTTTTAAAATTATTTTTAAGGTAATTTTTTTGAGGAATTCAATGTTCGTAAAATAAAAGAGTATGGAAAATATTTTTATTCTTTTTGAATTTTTATTTTTCTTTAAATTTAGAGGATTTTTAGAACCATGCGAATTTTGTAGAAAATATTTTATTGCATGCAAAAAAAAATTTTAATGAAAAAATTGATTTTTATTATATTTAAAACATTTTTTTAAAACTATTTTTAGGCTAAAAATTCTAAAATATAGCATTTTTATTTAAAAATTAATTTCTTTATTTTTCTAACTAATTTAAAAATCAAAATTGTCAAATGAAAAATCAAAAAATTGATTTTTATAATTTTTGAAACATTTTTTTGGAAAAAATCTATGCAGAAAATTCTAAAACACATCATTTTTAATTGAAAATTCATTTGTTTATTTTTGTAACTAATTTAAAAATAAAAATTGTCAAATGAAATAATTGATTTTTATAATTTTTGAAACATTTTTTTGAAATATTTTTTTTGACAAAAAAAAAACTACTTTTAGGCTGAAAATTCAAAAAAATGCAATTATTATTCAATTTTTCTGTTTTTTGAAAATTAATTTGTTTATCTTTTTAACTAATTTCAGATAATAATCAAAACTCTAAAAATTGGAGTTCATTTAAATTGAAAATGAATTTTTTTCAATTTTATTTCATCAAAGAAACAACGTTGATGTTTAGCATCGACGTTAACTTGAAACATCTAAAAATTGCAGTTAATTTTAATTAAAAAGGATTTTTTTAAATTTACTTATTAATACTAATTATCTTTTCAAAATTTTATTTTTCTTAAAAATTGTTAAATTTTGAAATTCAAGTGTAATTTTATAGAAAATTTTTTTTTTAACCAACAAATTTTCAAATAAAAGAATTGGTTTTTATAATTTTTAAAGCATTTTTTCGAAAAACAAAAATTTCTTTTTAGACTGAAAATGCTAAAAAATACCATTATTATTTCATTTTTTTATTTGAAAATTCATTTGTTTATTTTTCTAACTAATTTCAGACCAAATTTTTAAAATATTTTTTTTATATAAAAATTATGATCTAAAATTTTTTATAAAATTTAGAAATGATTTTTCAAATAAAAAATTGAATAACAATTGTATTTTTTAACTTTTTCAGTTTTTTTTAAAAAAAATGCTTCAAAAATTATAAAAATTAATTTTTTTGTTTGGCAATTTTTTTCGTAAATTCAAAAACATATTTTTTACAAAATTACTACTAATTTTTAAGAAAAAAATTCCATATGGATCAAAATATTTTCTGACCGATTTTATCTTATGTCCGTTGAATTTCTCTCAAAAAAAAACAATTAGGTATTCAGTTAATTTATTTCATAATAAATTTATTTATTTGCTTCATTCTTATATTTGTTTAGGTATTTTTATTCATTAAATCGTAAATATTAATTATTATAATTATTTTATTTTTCAGTTTATTTGTCTATTCATTTAATCAACTTTAATTAACAAATATAACTTAAAAAATCCCTGAAGTTAAACTATTTTAAAAATATACTTAAAAAAAATATATCCAACAAATATAATTTTAAAAAAGTGTAATTTTTGGAAATTAAAATTATGTAGAATTTTAATTCATCAAAAATTTATTTCACAGAATTATCACCTGCCCGAAAAAACTAGAAAAAATTTCATCACAAATTTAATAATAATTTATCACTATATTTTTATTGATTTTTGTGCCATTTCTGAATTGGCAGTTTTTAAATTCGCGTTAAAATATTTAATATTTTTCGTTTCGTACTATTAAAAATTATATTGAATAAAAATTCTGCTAGCGAAACATTTTAGGTGAAAATTTCAAAAAAATTTCATTTCTTTATATTGTTGAGACTTAGCGTGGAAAATTATTTGCAATTTTTTTTTTTTGCAGAGAAAAATGTCCCTCTTTCTGATTTTATTTACAAAATTTTCTTTGCATTGCTTGAATTTAGAATTCTTGAAAAAAATTTCAACTCTTTTTTATTTCTAAGAAAAAAACAAAATTTTTTTACATTTAGCGCCGACGCTAACTGCAAAAAGTTCTTTTGAATTAAAATCAACCCTAATTTTTTAGGGTTTTAATTTTAATTAAAGTTCATTAAAATTCAAAAGGAATTTTTTTGAACTTTAATCAATGAAAAAATGTTTATTTTTAGCATTGACGGTAAAACTTCAAAACTCTAAAAATTGGGGTTAATTAAAATTCAAAAGGATTTTTTTTTGTAATTACGTAGAATCAAGGAAAGAATTTTTCAACGTTTAGCGTCGACGCTATCATAAAAAAATCTAAAAATTGTTGTTAATAAAATTTCGAAACGAAGAAAAAAAAATGCTTTTTCCACAAATCTCGCACTTAAAAATTTTTCATTTTCCCCCGTTTTCTTTAGTGATAATAAAAGTGAAAGGGGGAGGTGTGTGTGTATCAAATGGCCGAGAATTTCTTTTTTCTTCCTCCGTTTTCCCGATTCCAATATCCGCCTTTAGGACTGGGTAATACCGGATCGGAACGCTATTAACAAGGGTTTGCCGGAAGGTCGATTTACGAGAAATAATTTCATGATTTCCATCGAATTGGGGCAACTAGGCACGGCCACGAGCAATCGACTCAGAATAATTAATTACATGCAATTAGTTGGCAACAATTTATTATTTCAGCGCGAGAGCGAGTTAACCTGTGATAGGGGGAGTATTATAAAATCAAACACACACTAAATCCTCAGAAACCTCAAATTGCTGTCTGTAAAGTGTGTGTACGCGCAACATCAGCGATTATAATGGATTTTCGTTATACTATATATATATAACCGTTCCTATGATGCGTTCAATAGTTGCTCAATAGCTGTTCCATAATTGTCCAATAGTTGTTAAATAATTATTCAATAATTGTTTAATAATTATCCAATAATTATCTAACAATTATCCAATAACTGTCTAAAAATTATCCGATAACTGCCTTATACTTAGCCGAGAATTTTTTAATTAATAATTATACAATATGATTGTAATATTAATATAAGGAATCTGCGCTCTTAATTTGAATTAATAAAAAAATTTAATAAATTGAATTAATGCTAATACATTAGTAAATTTTACTAATAAACAGTAATTTCTACTAATTTATTAGTAAAGATTTCCAAATCTAAAGCAAAATGTCAATCACTAATTTAAATTAGTAAATATTTTACTAATTAAAATTTAGAGAGTATAGAGTTAGCGTCGATGCTTAGCAAAGAAAACTAGGTTTTTATTGATGATAATGACACTAAATAATATTTTTAGTGATGTTTTTATAATTAAAAATATATTTTTTGTTTCCAAGTGTCAAAAATTGACAGTTTTCGACCCTTAGCAACGAATACTAAATACTTAGTGATAGAAATATCACTAAAATTATTTTTATTGACGTTTTCATAATTAAAAATATAGTTTTTGTTGCTAACTGTCGAAAATTGCCAACTTTCGACGCTTAACGACAAGAACTATATATTTTTACTTTAGTAATGGAAACGTCACTAATTTCGCTATTTTCGTTCTGAAATGTTATACTTTCGACGCTCTTTAAAGTTAAAATATTTAGAAAGAAAATTAATTTAGTTTCACTGGTTACAAAGAGAAAAAAAATTTCTTTCGCTTAGATAATTAACTTCATTAGTAAATTATTTTTCCTTGTATTATAAAAAATTATTTTTCTCCTATAAACGTAAACTAACAAGAAAATCCTAATTTTTTTTTTTTGCAGATTTCTCCTGTTGGCAACATGTTGTAACGCAGGAACAGAAATCACAAAGGTATGAAACAAAAGAACAAACAATATTTAAATTACCTTAATTAAAAAACGCAGAAAATTCTGGTTAAAATCTAAAAAATGAAACTTTAAAAATAACGAATTCTTATTAAAAACCAAAATTAAAAATATTTTTAATGAGAAAAAACCCAACTTAAATTTTAAAAAAACCAGTTATTAACAGATAAAACTATATTTTTAATTAAGAAAAAAGTCCTTAAAAATAAAACTACAGTTTCAGTGATGAAAAAAATGATTTAAAAAGAATAATTTTCGTTTTCAACGTAGATAATAATTGACTAACTTCGACGCCTAGCAAATAAAACTATCTGAATTGCGACAAAAATTTAATTTTGTTTTTCCCTGAATTTTCCCTGACAAAACTTCAAATGATTTAAAAAAAAAATTAAATTAAACTTTTTCAAAACAATTAATACGACAGAATTGTAAGTTAAAAGTATGAAAAATTCAAATTTTCAATTCAATTTCGACAAATTTTTATAAAATTTTTAAGAATAATTACATTTTTTGAGTAATTTAATTTTAATTATAAAAAATTTGTAAATAATTAAATTAATTTGACGCATTTTAATAAAATTAATAAGAAAACTTGAAATTTTCAAAAATTTGGAATGTAAACTTTTTTTGAAGTTCAACAACAACTTATAAGAATATTATTATAAAACAAGAAGATATTGAGACCTTCTCGAAATTCAATTATTTCTAAAAATTCATGCTATAAAGTTTTTAATATTCAATTATTATCTAAAATTTAAACTAAAATTAATTTTTAAATCAATATCTATTAGAAAATTCTACGAGAATTCAATTATTTTAATACAAACATAAATAATTTATTGAATAATTGAATGATTCTTAAAATTGAATTCTCATAAAGGGATTTTTTTTAATTGATTAAAAATCATAATTTTTCATCACTTAATTGGTAAATTTTTTAACTAAAAATAATTGAATTCCTACTTTTCATTGAAAAAATTGAATTTACAAGAAGAATTTTGTTATTTTCAAAAATAATTGAATTCCTGCAAAGTATTTTATTTTTTGATAAAAATTAAATTTCTGCGTTGAATTATATTAAAATTCTTGAAAATAATTCAATTCTTTAAAGGAATTTTGTTAAAATTGAAACTGATTTAATTCTTTTCAAACATTTTTATCAAAATCTTTTAAAAGTAATTGAATTTCATTAAAATTTTTGACAATAATTTAATCTTGTCGAGAAATTTTATTAAACTTGTATTGAATATAATTGAATTTTTGCGAAGAATTTTACTCAAAATTATGATAACAATAGAATTTCAACGACGAATTTTATTATTTATAAAGGTAATTGAATTTTTGTCAAGAATGTAATAAATATTTTGAAAAAAAATTGAATTCTTGACAAGAGTTTTAATAAAATCTTTAAAAATAAATAATAATTGATTTTTAGCAAAGAATTTAATACCTATAATATTTCAATACTTTAATGAAATTTAGTTAAAATCGTTTTGAAAATAATTGAACTCTATAGGAGAATTTTATCAAAAATTTTGAAATGAATGAAATTCCATCGAGAAATTTTATTAAAAAATTGAAAATAATTGAAATCTAACAAAGAATTTTATTAAATTTTTTTTTTTAAATAATTGAATTCCTGTGGAAAATTTTATTTTTGAAAAGAATTGAATTCTTGGGAAGAATTTTATTAAAATTTCTTAAATAATTGAATTACTTCGAAGAATTTTTTTGTTACAAAAAAAATTGAATTTTTTCAAAGATTTTTAATGAAATTTTTGACAATAATTGTATTCCTAGGCAGAGTGTTATATATTTTTTATGAAAATAATTGTATTCTATGATCAATTTTATTATAATTTTTCAAATTTATAAAACATTTTAACAAAATTTATTTAAAATAATTAAATAATTCTGGAGAAAAATTTTATTATTTATGAAAATAATTGAATTCTCATGAAGAATTGTATATTGAAAATAATTGAATTGAGTAGGAAAATTTTATTAAAATTGTAATTTTATTAATTAAATTTTGCAAAGAATTTTGTCAACATTTTTTTAAATAATATTTTTAAATAATATTTTTAAAAAAATTTAATTTAAATTTTTCGAAATAATTGAATTGATGCGAAGAAATTTATAAAAAAAAATTGGTAAATAATTGAATTCCTGTGAAATTTTTACTAAAATTTGGTTTAAATAATTAAATTTTTGGAAAAATTTAAATAGTCGATATTAAAATTTTAAAAATATTGGAAATGAAGAAAATTTTTGATAAAATTGAAATTTGGCCAAGTATTTTATTCAAGTTTTTGAAAATAATTAATATTCGGAGAAGAATTTCATTATTTATAAAAATAATGTCACTGACAATAAACAAAAAGTAGAAAAATTTTTCTCAAAAATGTCAAGTTTTCCAATCCCTTTGGCGTACGGTTTTGGATCGAAACGAGAAAAGATGTATCCAGATGATAAGATATCGGTGTTATGCAACCGCATTAGTATTGCAAGCGGAACGCGAAACGAATGTCAACCAGAAATTCATCTTCATAGTCTCTATCTCTCTATATATACATATATACATACAACTTGCAATACTTGCCAAAGAGTTAAGTTCTAACATTACGTCCTCAAATCACGTATATTGACAAACACTATTTTTTTTCAAAAATACGACTATTCAGAAGAAGGATATCCTAACGGATGCAATAATAAGCAATAATAAGCTTATATACAGAAAAAGGTTCATCATTTAATATTTTCGAAAATAGAATATTGTGACATTTTATAATAAGAAAAAATGTGTCAAAAGTGTAAAGTGCACGATAATCAAATTTTCTTGAATCTAGAAAAAAAAATTATATGGGAGCATTTTTTTTCAACGTGAATATAATATCGAAACTTTATAAGCAAACACATGGTATATTTATGGTATATAGGAGAGAGGAGTGGGGGGAGAGAAAAAGAGAGAGATATGCATAGATGAAACTCGAGAAAGTTTATAAATCGAAATTATTCAAATTTCCACTCTCTTTAGCACGTATATCGTATATTATTTATGTATATTAGATTCATATATTTGTGCGCTCACTTAAAATGTGAACTGAAGTTTATTTTTTTCTACTTTTACTATAGATCTTGTACTATATAATAATTTTTCTTTGCACAATTTTCGATTTAAAATTACAAGACGAAATTTTCATTCGAAGCAAATTTAATTTATTTCTGTTGAATAAAAATCCTTAGAAAAAACTACATGAATTTATTATTATTACAGATTAGAATTATTTTTTACTATAGAACAATTTTTACAAAGATTAAGTGACAAACTAAAACAGGGTTGTCACAGGTCAGGAAAGTCAAGGAATTTAAGGAAAAGTCAGGGAAAGTAGAATTGATCAGGAAAAAGTCAGGGATTTATAATCTTATATTAAAAGTACTGGAAAAATTAATTTTTTAAAATTCATTTAAGCAAAATCTGAATTTTTTTGCGGTCTTTTTTGTGAATTTAATTAGAAATTTTAAATAACTTAGGTTTTTAAAAATTTTAATAATTCAAATTCTTCTGAAATTAGTTAAATATTTTTAATATACATTTAATTACCTACTAATTGAAAATAATATGGGTTTATAGATGAATTTTAGTTAAAAACAATTAAAAAATGAAACTTTAGAGAAGTTACAAATGATTACAGAAATTCAATTATTTTCGAGAATTCAAAAAAAAAATCTTGACGAAACTTCAATTATCTTTAAAAATAATAAAATTCTTCTCCGAAATTCAATTCTTTTCAAAAACTTGAATAAAATACTTGGCAAAATTTCAATTATTTTTAAAAATAAAATGCATTTTCCTCATTTCAATTATTTTTAATATCTACTACTTTAATAAAATTTTACAGAAAAAATTTAATTATTTAAACAAAATTTTAATAAAAAAATCACAGGAATTCAATTACAAGTTTTTCAAAAATTTCTTCGCAACAATTCAATTATTTTTTATTTCTTAATGAAGTTTCTCGAAAGAATTCAATTATATTCAGAGAATTTAAGTAAATAGTTCTGAAAAATTCAAATATTTTGAAAAATTTAAATAAAATTTTGAAAAAATTCTTTACAAGATTTAAGTTAATACAATTACAATTTTAAAAAAATTTTCCGATATAATTCAATTATTTTTCAATACAATTTTTCTTAAGAATTTAATTATTTTTACAAATAACAAATATTTTATTGGAATTCAATTATTTTAAAAAATTTTGCTAAATTGCTTCATAAATTTGAAAAATTATAATAAAATTTATCATAGAATACAATTATTTTCATAAAATTTAACATTCTTCCTAGGAATACAATTATTGGCAAAAATTTTAGTAAAAATCTTCGAAACAATTCAATTATTTTCGTAAAAAATAAAATTCTTCTTAGGAATTAAATTATTTAAGAAATTTTAATAAAATTCTTCCCAAGAATTCGATTCTTTTCGAAAATAAAATTTTTCACAGGAATTTAATTATTTAGAAAAAAATTTAATAAAATTCTTCGTCAGATTACAATTATTTTCAATTTTTTAATGAAATTTCTCAATGGAATTTAATTATTTTCAAGAAGTTTAAAAAAAAAAAATTCTGAAAAATTCAATTATTTAAAAAGATTTGAATAAAATTCTTCACGAGAATTTAATTATTTTCAAAAATAATAATAATATTTTTCTCCGGAATTCAATTATTTTCATAAATAAAATTCTTCACAGGAATTCAATTCTTTAAAAAAATTTATAATAAAATTCGTTGAAAGAATTTAATTATTTTCAAAAATAACAAAACTTATCGCAGAATTTAAATTATTTTTTATACAATTTTAAAATAAAATGATAGAAAATTGCATAATTTTTCAATTAAAGAAATTCGTAAATAAATGTAATAGAACATTTTTTTGAGTATCTAATAATTTTTGGAGTGAATCAGAATATTTTTCAGGGTCAGG